GTGTGTGTGTGTGTGTGTGTGTGTGTGTGTGTGTGTGTGTGTGTGTGTGTGTGTGTGTGTGTGTGTGTGTGTGTGTGTGTGTGTGTGTGTGTGTGTGTTGTGGATTGCGTGGGATAACCGAGATTCGGTTGAGAGTGCAAACTTTTCAAAATTCGCGGAACGTCAAATGTGCTTTCGCCATATCATACATGAATTTTCCGTAGTCCATTTGTGCTTGCGCTGCAAGGCGAAAGAAGACAAAGAAAAACGAACGCGCCACAACAACGAACGATGGAGCGTAAGATGATGAGGATGCGCTTGCTGCTGGGCTGTTTGGTTGTTTGTTGTTGGGCTGAGAGCGGAGGAGGGGAATGAGCGGAGGAAAGGGCTTAGCTTGGCTGGGCTGAGCTGGGCTGGGTGCTGGCATTGCTATTACGCTTGGTGCCTGGCTTGCTGAGATGAGCTGTTTTGTTGTGATTTGCTTGTCCATCTCATACGCTCACACCCACTCATGTAAACATGCGTGCCCGCACAACATGCTCAACAACACCCTCACCACCCTCAACAACACCCCACGACATGACACGACACGAAATGACGCGCACAGGCGAGAAGAAGAAGTTGGGGCTGCGGCGAGCCAGCAGTGAGAATACTGCGGCAGGACCCGCAAGTCCCGAACATCAACAGCAGCAACACCAAACAAACTACAGTGCATCCCTCACTCAAGAAGACAGGCACTTGATCCTCGACTCCCACATTGTTCACCAAGGTGTCCTCGAGAAGAAGGTCAACAACAAGCACTGGCGCAAGCGATTCGTCCGCCTGCAGGTAGGGCTGTGTGCTTGTCTATGTTGGTGTGTGTGTGTGTGTGTGTTGGTGTGGAGGTTGAGTGGTTGTTTGCTTGTGTGTGAATGTGTGTGTTTGTGTTTGTTTGTTTGTTGTGGAGGTTGTTTCGAGTGCGCTGTTCCACCCCACCATCACCAACAACAAAACAACAACAACGACAACGAATAAAGCATGCTGATGTGTGCCAACCCCGCACATTGCAGGGCGACCATCTTGTGGAATATGATATGGCAGACATGAAGAAGCTGACACCAGAGGCAACTCCAGTCGACATTGTCCCTGTCCAGAATCGAACCGTCCTCTGCAACGTGGCCAAGAACAAGTTCATCCTGCAGCACCTGGAGCATGGCCACAAGGTGGTGGTGGTGGTGTGTGTGTGTCTGTCTGTGTCCGTGTGTGTGTCTGTCTGGACATCTTCGTCACTTGTGGGTTCTGTTTGGCTGCCTGTCTCTCCCCCTCCCCCCCCCCCGTTCGCTTGGCTCTCGGTCTCGATGGTTCTGGTCCTTATCCGTTTGTGACAAGCCGTCACCGCGAGCGTTCGTGCTTCCTTGATGCGTTGCAGGAGCAAGCAGCGTACAAGGCCGAGTCCGAGGAAGGCATGAACGTGTGGATCAACGAAATCTGCAAGCTGCAGGACCAGAACTCTGCCACCGAGTCAGTAACCCGCGCGCACGCACTCACACCACACCATCAGACACGCTTTGAACCACTTGCATCCGCTTGTTTCACGTGCTCGCCGCCTGCTCTGTACTCCATCGCCGTTGACCTGCCCTACTTTGTCTCTTGCTGTGGCCTCTGTTGTTTTGTTGGCAGCGGACCCACGCTCCGCTACTACCGCGGATCGGCACGATCAAAGGTGCGGCTGAGAGAGTGCACGTGTGTGCTTGTGCTTGTGTGCTTGTGTAGATTGTTTGTTTGTTTGTGTGTGTGTGTGTGTATTGTTTGTTTGTGTGTGTGTAGATTGTTTGTTTGTGTATGCGCGCGCGCGCGCGCGCGTGTGTGTGTGTGTGTGTGTGTGTGTGTGTGTGTGTGTGTGTGTGTGTGTGTGTGTGTACATGCGGCATGTGTGTTAATATCTGCGTGCATCTCCGTACGCGTTTGTGTGTGTCAGCATCATGCATATTCCTCGCCTGCCTCTCCGTCCTTTACTTTTCTCACCACGCCCTGATCGCCATTGTGCCCACAGATGAAGCGAGCTGCGACAGGGCTGCTGCACAAGATCACACACACGGAGAAGATTGACGTGCGGTTACGCGAACACACGCTTGCCCCTTTGCCCGTGCCTGCTTTGAAGTTCAAGCGCACACAATCCGTGTGCACACACTCGCGCACTTTTCACACACACACACACACACACACCACTTGCTCACTCCCTCACACACACACATACACAACACAACACAACACAACACAACACAACACAACACAACACAACACAGGACTCGCACGAGCTGCTGTCTGTGCGCAAGAATGTGGCGGATGCCATGGAGAGCACGTGGGTGGCGCTGCTGCGCCTGCGCGAGCTACTTGAACAGGGCAGCCGCTGCCAATACGCGCTTGTGGAACTTGTGTCGCACCTCCACCACTTTATCGACATGGCTTCAGAGGCAGCCGTGCTTGCAGAGGAGAGAGGCTTGTCTGATGTCGTGGACCGCAAGTGCCAGCAGCACATTGCTGCCCTCTGTCACACCAGTCGGCAACTTGCAGAGTTTTGTGACAAGGCGCACCCGCCACTCGGTGCGTATCTGTCTCTGTGTGTGTGTGTGTGTGTCTGTGTGTGTGTGTCTGTGTCTGTCTGTCTGTCTGTCTGTCTGTGTGTGTCTGTCCTTCTGTGTGTTTATCTGTCTGCCTGTCTGTTTGTATGCATGCCTGTGTATTTTTGCATGAGCTGCCTTCCCCGCTCACCCCTAACACACCCCGAAACAAACCCCCCCCCCTTCGCCGTTCACAACGCGTACACATACATTTGTAGTCCTTGACGACCGGCTGCTGCCGCTGCAAAAGGAGAAGCTAGCCGAGTTCCACCACTACGCCAACGTGCTGCTGGAGCGCTCGGCGCAGGCGCTGGCGGACATTGACGCCGTTCTGCCACACCGCTCGCGGTCGGGGTCATCCGGCGCGCACGTGCGCACATCCCACTCGGCCGACGTGCACCACTTGCAGCACGAGCAGCACGGCCGGCTCTCGCACATCCACCTGCCCACGGCTCACCTGCACCTGCACCGTCGCAGCAGCGCAGCCCAGCAGCACCAGGGCAACGCCGCTTCGCTGTCCACATCGGCCCCCGTGACGCCAGAACCACCAGGACAGCCGGCATTGGCCTCTGCCACCTCAACAACGGCAGTTACAGCAACCACGGCCACAGCAACAAACGCCAGCTCCAATGCCACCAGCCCGCCAACCACGCCGACCGCCAATCTCAACTCGGAGCAAGTCAAGCGGTTCACGCTGATTGGATATGACGCAACGCGCGTTGCCCGCGCCCTGAGCAACCACCGCCACGACATGCTCTCCGTGTACCGCGAGCTGACGGAGGCTGAGCGCGACGGCACAACGCACCGCTCGCTGTCGACGGGGCCGGGCGATCGTCGCAGCATCGGCCGCAAGGTCGCACACAGCCTGGCGTCGCTGGGCAGCGTGCACAGCCTGAGCGAGGCGCACCTGTCGAGTGCAGCACTGGCCGCGGCACAGCACTCGCATCACGCGCACGAGGGCCGCAAGCGCACCAACACGCTCACGATTCGGCGGCGGCGGAGCTTTGGCAATGAGGGCGACGAGCAGGTGCAGCCGTTTCAGCACCACCAGCACCACCACAACCACCACCGCGCATCGGTCACTGGCCGGGCAACCAGCCCCCGCAGCCGCAACTCGGCCTCCACATCAGCGGCAGCGCCGCCCCTCACGCCAACACGCACCGCGCCAACCGCAACCGAGCAAGGCGCGGGCACGCGTGCGACCAGTGCACCGCACGGCACGCGGCCACGATCCCGCCACGTCTCCGCAACGGAGGACAGGCGACGCGCGCACCGCGTGAGCGAAGACATTGCAGCACGCGCGCTGGAGGGGGAGCCAGACGGCCGCAACAGATCGGTAAGCGAGCCACACCTGGGTGACGCGGGCAGTGGTGCCGCCACGAACCAACAACACCGACAACAGCGGCAGGAACGTGAGCGACGAGGCAGTCACACGGGTGGTGATGATGATGAGGAAGACGATGATGACAGCGACCGGGAGGAGCTGGTGCAGGTGTTGAGGGCACTGGATGGTACGCGGTTTGATGACGCAGAGGGCAGTGGCTCCAACAACGATCAACAAGGGCAGGGTACTGGACGCGGGCGCCGGTTCCGCGGTGCGCGGCTTGTTGACGGCGCGTTTGTCATGCCGCCACTAGCTGAGACTGCCGGTGACAGCGGCGATGAAGGCAGCACCCATGGCGGCGAGGGTGATGGTGCGTCGCAGCACGATGAGGAAGGTGCCGGAACGTTCCTGCGACGAAAGAGGATGAGCCTTCGCGTGGCAAACGCGTTTGGAACAGGGCCTGGCCAGGACGCGCGTGGAAGTGCAGCACCACACGGCCTGCTCACCGCGTCCATGAAACGCAAGCGGCGCGGGTCCATCTCTGCTGGTGGCCGGCGACTGCAGGGGTCCGGGTCGCCGCGAAATTCAAACGCGCGCAGCCCTCGCCGCGGACACAGCCGCACAGCGTCGCGGGACGAGGAAGCACGCGCTGTGACATCGACAACAGCATCAACGGCAGCCGGTGACGACAGCCAACATCAAGGTGCAACGCCAGCCAGTAGTGTGAGTGCACAGGATACGAGCAACAAGTCGGGACAGGGAATGACTGCAGCTACTAGCGGTGAAGCCGAACGCAGTGATGGCAGCCAGCAAGCATCTGTTGGTGTTGGCGGTGATGATGGTAGAACCCCCGACGCCAACCAGCCTCAGCAGCAACAAGCAGACGAAGAGCAAGATGGAGCAAGTAAAGGTTCGGCACGCGGTGATGAACACGCTGGTGGCAACGAGGCAGACGATGGCGATGGTGAGGAGGAGGAGGAGGAGGAAGAAGATGCAGAAGCGGATGACGAGCAAGCGAGACGAGAATGGTCGCACCTGTTTGAGTTTCCAGAGCAGCGCATCGCAGCAGCACATCTTGACCCCATCCACCTGTTCAGCGAACCGCCCACGCGCAGCGCAAACAACCCGTTCCTCGTCACCCCAGAGGAGCACGAGCGCATCCAGGCCAGCGCACTCGCCCTGTTTCAGGATGACGACGATGACGACGACGACGCCAACACCACCATGAACAGCACCTCCACGCTCAGCCTGAGCATGCTGGGGTCCCTCTCTCCGTCCACATCCAAGAGCGCAGAGCTGCACCGCAGCAGAAGCGCAGCGAACGCAAGCGCGCTGGCCCGCAACAGCGGTAGCAGCAGCAGCAGCAATGGCGGTGGTGGCGATAGTGGGGACAGCACGGGTGCACCAACAGCGGAGGAGCTGCACGCGTTTGCACAGAACCTCTCACCGAGCAACCCGTTCAAGTCGCACCTGCAGACCCGCCCGCGGTCTGCCTCCTCTGGTGCGCATCCACTGCGCAAGGCCGCATCCACCAACTCGATTTCAGCCTCTTCCTCGCCCTCCACCACGGCCCGCGCCAGCAACCCGTTCCTCGCCACTATCCAGCAGCAGCAGCGGCAGGCAGATGGTGGCGGCAGTGGGCGCAGGAGCACGTGCAGCAGTCCTGGCCAACAGGGCACGGAGCGCCTGACCAAGAGCGTGACCCCTACAGCAGGTGTGCTGGCCGTGTCGTCATCAACACCAACGCAGGGATCGGCAGTCACGTCGGGTTCTGCGTCCCCACCACAGGCCAGCATGCCGCCTCGGCCGCCAAAGCCAGTGCACCTGCTGGCCCAGGACCCAACGAGCACACCACCGGGCCAGAGCGGCAGTGCAACAGCAACGACGACAGCAATGTCATCGTCATCGTCATCAGCAGTACCGCCATCGTCGTCCCCGCTGTCATCATCGCCGCCCCCGCCGCTGCCGGCGCGAAAGGCGCGTGCACCACCGTCGCCAATGGCCAGTGGTGGTGTGATTGACACCTTCCAGGCCAACAGCAGCGGCACAGACCTGAAGCCGAGCCCCTTGGCCGTGCAAGCCATGCACCCACGCACCTCCGCCACCAGCCAGCCATCTCCAGCGACAACAACGTCAACACCAACAATAACAACGACGGCGCCAACAGCAACAGCAGCAGCAGCCTCGTCGGTGTCAGACCGTCCAGCACGGCCCACGCTGAGCCTGGGTGGCGTTGACAGCGGCGACTCGTCCACGGACCACATCCGGCAGTCGTGGTATCTGCCCGGCGCCACAGCTGACACGCACGCGGGCAGCAGCGGTGGCGGCAACGTTCCCCGCACGAGCACGATGAAGTCGAGTGCTGCAACCACACGCGCAGCGGCTGCACTGGCGGCGTCGTCATCCCCATCGTTGGTGGGCGGAGCAGGTGCAGCTTCGCCGCCGAAGCAGCGCCCACGCAGCCCCTTTGCAGGCAAGAACAACCCGTTTGTACAGCTGATGGAGGCCGAGGGCGGAAGGGGCCGCGGCGGTAGCGATGGTGACGATACCCGGGCACCGACGCAGGAAGGAGGTGTTGGTGGTGGCGCAGCAACGGGGGAGGACGATGCAACAGCAGAGGCGATGAAGGCGTTTATCGAGGAGGGAGATGAGATTGATGCTGAGACGGGTCTGGTGATTCGGAAACTTGAGGCCAACCCAGGCGACTCAAACACATCCACAGCAGCAGCAGCAGGGACGGGTGCAGGCGACACGTCGATTGTCTCGTCCACGGCAGGGGACACGTCCATCGCACGCGCACGTACACCAAGCGCTGGTGACACCGACGGTGATGGTGATGGTGATGGGGATGGTGATGGTGAACGCAACGCGGGGCGTGATGCAAACGCAGGCGGCGGCGGCGGCGGCGGCGGTGGGCTGATGCTGAGGGTTCGTTCGACCTCCACTGCAAGCAGCAGGGGCGGAGCCGCGCCAGATGCACATGTTTTGGCCACAAAGTCGGATGTTGCACCGACACCCTCGTCACCGTCGCCAACCACCGCCCAACGGCAGGCAGCGGCAGCAGTGCTGTCGACGTCAGCCCCGTCCATGATCCCATCGCGTGGATCGTCGTTGTCGCTCGGGTCGACTGGTGGCAGTACACGCACCTCGCAGGCGTCACCACGTCCCCATGGCCGCGGCACGCCGGGTGCTCCCACGGCAGCGGCGGCCGGTACCGACGCAAACACAACAACGGCAGCGCCAGCCACGACGTACTACTGCCGTGTGCGTGCAGGCACGCTGACGCAGGTGCTGGAGTATCTCATCTCCGACCGCATGCGGGACCCGAACCTGCTGGGCACGCTGCGTACGTGCTTCCCCGTGTTCACGACGGCCAAGGACCTGAGCAGCAGACTCATCACGCACCACCGCGGGCTCATGACTGCGCGGACGGGGGGCGGCGGCGGCGCTGCTGAGGACGCCCTGGTGTGGAAGCACTGCCGCCTGGCCACGGCCATGAGCGAGTGCCTGGAGTCACTGGTGCCCGACCTGAGCGCGCGGCAGCTGCGGGAGCTGCAGGCGGTGGTGTACGATCTGCTGCAGCTTGAGCACGTCGACGTCGCCGCAGCGTACCTGGAGGACCTGTGGGTGGCCATTGGGGAGCGGCTGGATGCGCAGCAGGCAGAGGAGGAGCAGGAGCTGGCGGCGTCGAGCCAGCCGCGCGCAAAGGTGGCGGTGCCAGCAGCACCGGCCGGGCAGCGACCAACGGCGCTGCTGGCGTATTCGACGACAGAGCTGGCCAGGGAGCTGTGCGTGATGGCCAACAAGCTGTTTGGGCGCATCTCTGCGCGGGAACTGCTGGCGTGGCGGAAGAAGCAGTCTGCGGAGAACAGCCCGAACGTGATGAAGATGATTGAGCACTTCAACCACGTGTCCATGTGGGCGGCCACGTGCGTGGTGTGCACGCCGAAGCTCAAGCACAGGGTGAAGGTGATGGCGAAGCTGATCCAGCTGATGAAGCAGCTAAAGAAGCACCAGAACTTTGACACGCTGCTTGCCATCCTGTCTGGCATGAACAACGCGGCGGTGTATCGTCTCAAGCACACGTTTGCCAGCCTGAACGCCAAGACGCAGGGCACGCTTGCGCGCCTGCAGGAGCTGATGAGCCACGAGAAGAGCTTCCTCAAGTTCCGCTACTACTGCCGCCAGCTCAAGCCCCCCGTTATCCCATACCTGGGCATGTATCTCTCCGACATTGTGTTTGTGCACGTTGGCAACCCAGACTACGTGGAGCTTGGTGCCGCCGTGCACCGCGGCAACACCTCAGAAAAGATTATCAACTTTGCCAAGGTGTGTTTTGAGGGGGGTGGAGAAGGGAGAAGTGGGTGAGTATAAGGAAGAGACCGTGTGTGTGTGTGTGTGTGTGTGTGTGTGTGTGTGTGTGTGTGTGTGTGTGTCTGTTGAACGCGTCTCCATGGACAGTATTCGTGTGTTCTTGTTTTGTTTGTTGTTACACTTACCATTGCGCACCCGTCTCCCTCTGTGTCTCCCTCACTTCTGCCCAAACAACCCAACCAACAACAACAACAACAACAACAACAACAACAACAACAACAACAACAACAACAACACACGAACACAACACGAACACACACACAACAACAACAACAACAACAACAACAACAACAACAACAACAACAACAACAACAACAACAACAACAACAACAACAACAACAACAACAACAACAACAACCATCACACGAACACACATGCACACAACAAACAGATGCACCAGCTGTACAACATCTGCGCGGCGGTTGAGGAGTACCAGAGTCACCCTTTCAAGTTTCAGTCCAAGGAGGAGATTCGGCAGTGCTTTGACGGCTTCAACCACAAGACCCACGATGAGCTGTATCAGCTCAGCCTGGAGATTGAGCCGCGCGGCGCAACGCTGGAGCAGATTGCGTGACGCTGGCCGTGTGGCATATTGAGATGGGATGAGGATGGGAGATGATGAAGGACATGTTATTGGGTGACGATGAGATGGTGCGGTGTGCTTGCCTCCTGTTGCTATGTTACATTACACGTCTTGCGTGATTGCTTGCTTGCTACGCTGCTTTGGCTCGAACAAGATGGAATTTGAATGGATGAAGTGCAGCTGTACGCGACCTGGGCAAGAAGGTGGTGGCTGTACGAGATGGGGCTGCGAGAGTGGTGCGTGCGATGATGTGATGGTGTGATGGTGTGACATGAGACATGATGGGAGGTGCGTGTTCCACGAGGACCCAACCAAACAAACACGTCATTCTGGGCTGTGCCCAAATGAAAAATTTTCTTCATTTTTATATCCAGTTCAAACTGGAGGCGGGCGTTTCCTCCTTGTTTTGTTTGTGTTGTTCCCCCCTTTTCAACAGCGCAACCAGCAAGAACAACAGCAGCGCAGCTCTCTGGCTGGCTTTTTGGTTCTTCAGCCATCCACTCCCCCCCCCCCACACATACATACATACACACACACACACACCACACATCGCACATCGCACCACATCGCGCGCACACACACTCACACACACACACACACACACACACAGCCTCTACTTACACAGCAACGATGCAACAACAACTACAACGTGGAAGGATAGCTTTGCCGCTGGCGGCAAGTGTTGTTGCTGCAGCTGCGTTTGTGCTGTGCACGTGCGTGTGCTTGCTCCCTGCGGCAACGCAAGCGCAACAGACGTCGCTTGTGCTCGTGCCCGGCAGCTGCGATTGCACCAACGACGCGGACTGTGGCTGCGAGAACAACGCCGAGTGTGTTGATCGCGCCAACAACACGCACACATGCATGTGCCGTCAAGGATTCGAATGTAAGCTGCCACTGTCCGCTGCACGCACTTTGCCTCTGCACTCTGTGTTTGCGTGCACGGCAACTGCCGTGCGTATGCCCAACACGCACCTGTGCGCCCATGGCAGCAGCGTCCTTTTCTTTCTTCGCACACACATATGTACGCGCACACACGTACTTGGACACTTGCTCATGCGCACACACGCATTCACTCACGCCCACCTGGCGTTGCCTTTTTTGTGCACATATTTGTGGTTGTGTGCAGCTCGGAGATGTGAGACGGCATATGATCCCTGCGACGGAACCCCGTGTGGGACTGGCAACTGCACATACTCCTCGACCGTACTTCGTGACACGGCCGACTTTGAATGCTCCTGCACAAAGGAATTTGTGGGCGACACCTGCGACGTCCCGTGCCCCGCCAACTGCACCTCCTGTATTGAGCTGAATGATAAGGGCATCTGCACGCAGTGCGATTCAGGCTTTGCCATTGATAATACCAACAACGAATGCGTCACAGAATGCCCATTGTACGTGTGTATGTGCCTGTGTTTTTGGTCTGTGCGTGCGCGCGCGTGTATCTGTGTCTGTCTGTGTCTATTTGTGCAACAGTACTGCTTGCAGTGTGCATCATCTCGAGGTTCCTCGACATGCTTCCTCGCTCACCCTGCGCCACGTTTCCGTATCGTGTCCTTGGCAGTGGAACAGAGAATCAGGACGGGTTCTGCAACGGTGCGTTCAACATCATCCATCTACTGTTACACCACGTCCCTCACCCACCCGCCACCTCTTCCTCCCCAACTCCTCTTCTCTTCCACCGAACCACTGCGATCTCCTTCATTGCTGTACTCCACACCTCTCCTCTCGCTCACCTGTTTGCTGCCGCCTTGATTGTCTCGCCTCCAGACATCAACATCTGCCTCAACATCACGTGTGCCAATGGCGGCACGTGCGATCGAAACGCTGCCAGCGACGCAACAGCGTGCATATGCCCGTATGTTCATTCACCTTCCATGTGTACCCCTGTGTGTGTGTGTGTGTGTGTGTTGATGTTTGTGTGTGTGTGTGTGTGTGTGTGTGTGTGTGTGTGTGTGTGTGTGTGTGTGTGTGTGTGTGTGTGTGTGTGTTTGTCCTAGACTCCTGCCTCCTACGCTTGTCTCGCCCGCAGGCTTTGGCTTGTTTCTCGTTGTCACAACACCTCTCTCACAGCCACGTCCGGTTCACCACACACACACACGCGCGCGCACACACACGTTCTATCCCCCCCCCCCTCTCTGCACCTGCCTTCGTCTTCTCTCTCCATCACGACGACAGCACCGGCTACGACCAGCCGCGCTGCCTGACGGGCCAGGCGTGCAACGGCGTGGACTGCGGCAACGGCGAATGCTACATTGACGATGGTGTTGCGAAGTGTGACTGTGATGCCGGCTTTGAGGGCACAAACTGCACAATCAACATCGACGACTGTGACCCAGACCCGTGCAACGGCGAGACGTGCATTGACGGTGTGTTTCGCACGCTTTCTGTGCGTGTGTGTCTGCGTGTGTGTCTGTGTGTATTACGGAGTGGGTAGCTGCTCGTGAACTTGATGATTGTTTCCCGCACCACCCCAATGCTCTTGTGATCGTCATCTCACGTTAAGCACCTGCTCTCACAACACCCTCGATTTTCGTGGCAAATACAGGCATCAACAACTACACTTGCTCATGCCCTTCCCACCTTGGCGGACCGTAAGTGTACTCACACACAAGCAAAACAAAGTTCACACTCTCCCACCTCTCCACACATCACTGCCATCGTAGCATGGGTTTTTGCCCCCCACTTAACACCACACGTACACACATACTCACTCGCATACTCACTCACACACATACACACACACATACTCACTCCACACACTACTCACCACGCCACACTGTTCTACCTCACCACCGTTACCGCCATCAGGAACTGTGAGGTGCAGATCAACTGCGCGGCCGGCGCGTGTGAGCCCAACGGCGTATGCAAGAGCATTGCGACGGGCTTCGAGTGCGAATGGTGCGTACACTGCATGTGTGACTGCTTGCTACTCGTGTTGTTGATTCGTGTTGCTATTCCTGTTGTCCTTTGTGTTTTTTGATGTTGGGTGGTGTTGATGGCACTTGTCTCCTTGTTCAGGCAGTGTTCGCATTTGTTTGCCTACCGCGCACGCGCTCACAACAACAACAACAACAACAACAACAACAACAACAACAACAACAACAACAACAACAACACTGCAGCGACCCTGGCTGGGAAGGTGACAGCTGCACGGATGACATTGACGAGTGCGCACCCGATGTCTTCCCCTGCTTGAATAACGGCGTCTGTACAACGCCAACCATCAACTCCTTCCACTGCGAGTGAGTGCTTGTTTCCGTGCTAGCTTTGGTCGGTTGGTTGGTGAGTTAATAAGTTTGCTTGTTTGTTGGCTGGTTTGTTGGTTTGTTTTGTTGGTTTGTTTTGTTGGTTTGTTTTGTTGGTTTGTTTTGCTGATTTGTGCCTCAGATAAGTAGCGCACCACACAACTCACATACCAACACCTCACAATCGCCCAACTGCCACTCCTCTTGCCTTCCCCCCCCCCCTACACAAACACACACACACATACACAAACACACACAAATCACAATCAAAATCACAACAGGTGCCCCACTGGGTTTACGGGTGATCGATGCGAAGAGAGTCCTTGCATCCCTTCGCCGTGCACGAACAACGGCACGTGCTCCGTCGACGACATCACAGGAAACTTCCTCTGCAACTGCACAGGAACAGGGTTTGCTGGCTCCATCTGCCAATGTGCGTACATGGCTGGATTGTTTGTGCATGCGTGCACTTGTGCCTTTGCGAGTTGCTTTTGCGGATCACGTCCATGCACGCATTCACACGCATTCACACACATTCACGCACATGCACACACGTGCACACGCATTCACACGCATTCACACACATACTTTGCGCACAAACACGTACTCACGCTAACCAACAACAACCACTACTCACCCCCTGCCCCCCTCGCTTTCTCTTTGTCATTGTTACTCAGATGTTGACAAGTGCGTGGAAGACCCCACGCTGTGCGGCGAAAACGTGTGCGAGTCAACCGGGTCCTCGTACGTGTGCGTGTGTCCGGACGGCTCAAAGCAGAAGAACTGCCCTCCACCAACAACAACACCGCCAACCACAACTACAACGTCAACGACGTCTGCCGCCTCAACCAACGCACCAGCGAAGGACAAGAGCCTGCTCACCCCGCCTGTGCAGTATGGTGAGCACATGTGTGTGTGTGTCTGCGTCTGTCTGTGTGTGTGTGTGTCCGTGTCTGGTGGGTTTCATGGTGTGTGGGGTGTTTTCCTCTTGATCGTCAGCTTGTCTTCAATGCTGCACGAACAGGCGGAGCGTCCCAACGTTGTGCATGCGTACATACTTGGATGGTTGCCACCTCTGCACGTACTTGCTTCTCCTCACCTGTGTACTGCATCCGCTCTCGCATCTTTGCGTGTGTTCATGTGACATCATCAGGGCTGATGGGCGCTGCTGCGCTTCTTGCTGTCGTGTTCACGATTGGTCTGGGGTGCTACTGCCGCAACAACCGACCAACAAAGGCTGCACGTAGGAAGGTGAGGCGTGTTGCTCCGTGTGAATGGATCTGACTGCAAACAAAACACACTGGCTCAACGTTCATCCCCGTTCTCCAACCCCTCGCTCACCCGCACGCACGCGCACACACACACAACATCAACACCATCACCATCATCGACATCAACACCATCACCATCATCGACATCAACACCACTACCACGACCATCAACACCACCGTCGTCGTCACTGCGCCAGACGCGTCCGCCGTCAATGATGCGCTCCTTCTCAAATCCCGCCTTCAACCCAGACATCGACTCGGAGGACTACCTCACGGTCTGTCGTGTGTGTGTGTGTGTGTGTGTGTGTGTATGTGTGTGTGCGTGTGTGTATCTGTCTGTCTGTCTGTCTGTCTGTCTGTCCGTGTCTGTGTGTGTCTGTGTCTGTGTCTGTGTCTGTGTCTGTGTCTGTTTACCTCTGTGTCTCTCCGTGTCTCTGCCTGTCCGCCTTTGCCTGTCAATGTGACTATCTCTGGTTATGTCTAAACCGTTGTTCCCTGTTTCGTTCTTCATCCATCTCATTTTATCCCCCCCCCCCAATTCTTTCTACACCACCACCACCACCACCATCAGATGCCTGGTGCAGACGGGTCGACGAGTGACGGGTACATGGGTCTGGACGCGTTCCAGAACACATCGCCAACAAAGCGGCCGTCGGTGCCGCGGACGGCGTGGCAGAAGAAGAGCACCCATCTCGACGGCATTCAGGAGGAGGGATCCTATGATGACCTCGGCAGTGATGAGGAGGAGAAGCTTGAAGGGTACTTGGAGGTTGGCACGGCTGACGCCTCAGCATCGAAGGGAGCGAGCACAGGAGCAACAACAGCAGCAGCAGCGACAACAACACCAGCAGGTGGCAAGGTGGCCACGGCGGCTGGAGGGAAGAAGGCAGCAGCACCCAACGCTGCAAAGGGCGGGAAGAAGCCGGGCAAGAAGCCCAGTGGAAAGAAACCCAAGCAACAGCAGAAGCCGGCCATGAAGCAGCAGCAGCAGCAGCAGCAGCATGATTCGTACATGGATCTTGAGGACGATCAGGGACAGCAGAGCTACATGGACGTGGCGACGGCCGGGACAAGACCAGTCGCGAAACCAACCACGTACTCGAGCGTTGGGGCACAGCCACCGCAAGACAACTACCTTGATGTGGACAACGACCAGCAGCCACAGGACAGCTACATGAGCGTGCAACAGCAACAACAACAGCAACAAGACAACTACCTTGATGTGGACAACGACCAGCAGCCACAAGACAGCTACATGAGCGTGCAACAGCAACAGCAGCAGCAACAAGACAACTACCTTGATGTGGACAACGACCAGCAGCAACAAGACAACTACCTTGATGTCGACAACGACCAGCAGCCACAGGACAGCTACATGAGCGTGCAACAGCAACAACAACAGCAGCAACAAGACAACTACCTTAATGTGGACAACGACCAGCAGCCACAGGACGACTACTTCCAAGTGGACAAGAGTACTGGGCGGTACATGAGCGTTGATCGGAGCCAGCAGCAGCAGCAGCAGCAAGACAGCTACTTGAACGTCACACGCAATGATGCAGCAAACGAAGGGTACATGGGCTTTGATGAGGGTGACGATGATTCATCGTCTGACGAGGAGGACTTTTCCATCATCCCCAAGCAGCAGCAACAACAACAACAACAGCAACAGGAAGGGGCTGATGGCTCATACATGCATGTGAGCTCGCCACAGCAAGAAGGTGGCAACGACAGCTACTTTGATGTTGAGGGCGCGGCAAAAAACCCGTCCTACTTGCATGTGGCTGGCAACAAGTCGTGACACATGACTTTTCCTTTTGTCTGGTCTGTGTGTACGTCTGTCGCTTTGTCTTGTCTGTCTGTGTGTCTGCATGTCTATGTCGGTTTGTCTGCCAACTCCCTGCTGTTAAGGCGATATTCATTTGCATTCCTTTCCCTGCCTCTAACAAATCACTCTCACAAGTGTCGCTGGTCTCGCACTTAGCTCAATCATCTCATTTCATTTCACCTCTTCTTGTTCTTGGTTTTTCTCTCATCACGGCTTCCTGTCTTTCTTGGTTCGTGTCCGCCCTCTCTTGCGGCTTCCTTTTGTTCATGCTGCATCTGTTGCTTGTTGATTGATTCTCATTCGTGCTTCTATTGAACCAAAAGTTGTCTGACACACTGCAGCATGAACATGCTCGTCGCCGAGAACACGTGCGTACACACGCACACGCAAACACACGCGCACTCAAGCAATCAAATGCACACACACACACACACACACATGCACACACACATGCAAACCTCCAACATCATGTCAAAACGCTTGTGTGTCGAACAACACGGATGATCTCTCTTCATGTTCGTTCAGCAGCGACTGGCTCTCGCCGTTACCAACGCTGCCATTACTGCTGCTGTGCACCACATCATGCCTCACATCATGCCTCACACCATCGCCCCCGCCTGTCTGGTCATCGTTCTCTTCCCTCCCACCACGGTTTGGCTTGCTACTCTTCGCCCCTTCTCCACTCTGCTGCTTGCTATTTCCCCCTTCTTCTCCGCCCTCCTGCTGTTTCTCCTGCTGCTGCTGTTTCCTCTGCCTGTGTGCTGTGCGTCGTCGTCGTACTCTGCGCACCCTGCGCGTGGATGGCTGCACGAAGCTCTCACCGCCAGCACCAATCGTCGACTTGTCGCTCGTTGCTGCTGCTGCTGCTGCTGCTGATGTCATTGGTACCGCTGATGTCAATGCTTGTGGTGCACCTGTGGTGTGGCTGTTGCTTGGTGTGACATGGCTCGCGTCGGCGTGACGCCTGTTCCCGCCACCATCATCGCCATGATGACCATCACCGTCATCGGCATCATCCAGGGAAGTGTCCATTCCACTGGTTGCCATCGTTGACGCTGCAGCCGGCGCCGCTGTGGTAAGTGCTGTGGTTGTTGCTGCTTCAAATCTCGCTGATGATGACGCTTCTGTGTTCCTTTGCGCTGTCATTGACTCGACGCTTTCCGACGCTGCCGCTGTTTCACTTGTACGCGTGGCTGCGACCACTGCCGTCGTTGGTGTTGGCTCCATCGCTGCTGTGTCCTCTGCTGCGCTGCGGTGTGTGCGGCGCCGGCCTGTTGTGCTTGCGTTCGCCTTCCGCGTCTTGGAGAGCATCGACGCGAAGCGACGGAAGCGCGCAGACGATCGAAACTGCGCAGGAATCACGGGCGCGGTCGTGCTCAGCCACGCATTGTCGCTCATGTCATCAATACCACCATCAGCATCATGTTCAACGGGATCGGCGTCGCTGTCACTGCCACCACCACCACCACCACCACCACCACCACCACCACCACCACCAACACCAACACGCGTGCGTCCATCCACATCAACGGCCGCATACCGCCTCTGCTGCTGCTCCTCTTCTTGCTCTTCGTCTGGGTCGGGAAAGTAGCGGAGGGTGGTGTTGGTCGGCAGCACGTGCTTGAGGGGCACGAGACATGATTGCAGTACGCGCCCCGTTCGTTCGCACACGCATCCGTCGGCACAGTTCTTCACCATCAACATCAGCCCGCCTTCTGGTCGGCTCCCAAAGTACACGGACTTGCAGCTGCGACATGCAATCGAGTTGAAGTGCAACGTCGCGACGCGCTGTCGCTGTTGCTGTTGCTGTTCATCGTGGTGTTGCCCATTGGCGGTGTTGTGGCTGCTGCTCTCGGTTTGTGCTGACTTTCTCCTGCTCCTCTTTCGCTTTCTGCCACCCTCATCAGCACCATCGACACCATCGCCTGCACCGTGATCACTGTCCGTGTTGTGGTCGCTGTCGTTGTCGACACCTCGCTGTGATTGCGACTCGAATGCGTCTGGCAGCAGGAACGGGCACCCCGCCTGCGTGAACGTGTGCGTGAGCAATTTCGCTCGCTTCGCAGCATTCGACGCTGCTGACAATGACGATGATGATGATGATGATGATGACTCCCCAGCACTCCGAACCATTGACAGCCGACGCACCGCAGCTACAGCAGCTGCATTCGATGGCGACGATAACGACGACGATGATGATGATGACGATGATGGTTTGCTGTGTGCGGTGGCGCTTGGTGGTCGTCGTCGAGACCACACGCCTGCGGCCTGTCGCCTCTGCCTCATCCACGCAGGCTGCCTTTCCTTTGCACCAGCACCCTCCGAGCCCTGCTCTTGCTGTTGTTGCTGTTGCTGTCGTTGTTTTTGTTGTTTTTGGTGTTGCTGTTCGGGCGTGAGTGGCACGAGGCTGTTCAGTTGCTCGTGAATCGTGTGCGCCGGCATCTGTGCCTGAGATTGTACGCCCCTGCCACCATCACCATCGCCATTAGGACCACCAGTAGCACCACCATTAGCATCGCCATCACCATCGCCATCAGCACCGCCATCATCAATAGGATCGTCATCATGCCCTGCGCGCTTGCTGGGTGTCTTCTTGACTGCAAATGAGGACGTGATGCGCTCTCGCACAGCCGTTGCCCCTTTGGTTTTGGTGGCCTTCGTGCCACGTGCATGCTTGCCATCCCCAGCATCTTCGTCATCACGGGCGCCCCGTCCACCGCCTTCGCCATGGCTGTGAGTGTCGTCATCGTCAATGATAACGACATCCGATGCCTGCGTGCTGGCGCGCATGTCCTTTGCTGTCAAATTGCTGCCGGCCTCTTCATCGGCACTCGATGCGCCCATGTCTGTCAACTGCCCGTCACTGCCATCATCACCACCAGCATCATGACCATCATCATAACCGTCATACATGGATGTGGCGTGAACACGACCCTGGCCCTTCCTTCGTGTCTTCTTCCTCGTCTTCTCTGTCTCCTTTGTACTTTCCTTTGCGTCCTCCTCCTTCTCCTTCTTCTTCTTCTTCTTCTTCTTCTTCTCCTTCTTCTTCTTCTCCTTCTTCTCAACTTTCTTTACCTTCTTCCGAGTCGCCTTTTTCTTGCTCTTTCCCTCGCTCCGCACACTCGAATCATCATCATCATCATCATCATCATCATCATCATCATCATCATCATCATCATCATCATCATCATCATCGTCGTCGTCGTCGTCTGTGCCCATGCTGCCATCAAACACAACACCGGTCGCCTTGGTGTGGTAACGGAACTTGCTCGACACATCACCTGTGTTCCTCCCGCCACCAGCGTCACCATCACCATCACCACCCTGACCCACCCCCTTACCACCACCACTGTTCTTGGTGCGGCGGCGTTGCAGTGCAGCAGCTGTGCGCGCTGCGAGCGACTTCACCACACCCGTGCGCGACATAAACGCCTCCACGCTTGTTGGCACCTGCACCTGATACAGGCTCGGTGGGTTGTTGTCTGGAAGCAGGTCGCGAAAGTGGGGGAGGGGGTCGACGCTGGCTGCACGGACAATGGGTACAATCGTTTTTGGACCAATTGTCCGCACAAACAGCTGCAGCTCGTCAAAGTTGCTGTGCAGGGAGTAGGGCACGCGATGGAGACGGGTGGTGGCCTTGACGCTGTGGTGCTGCGACGGGTCAACGGTGCTGAAGGCAGACGGGTTGTATGCAGTTAACACAACACCAAGCGCAGGCTGGATGTCATATCCCTCGACATATGCCTTGGTGAGCTGGTGCCGCGGCACGACGTGGAAGCGGGAGTCTTCGGGCTGCGTGGTGAACGCGCTGCATGGGATGCCAGCCACCCTGTACGTTGCAAGTTGCGGTTCGCTGACGTGGATGGCGGCGCTGTACTTGGAGGCAACGTCCAGCAGCACGTCCTCCTTGCCAAGCGTGTCGACACCGAGAAGGATATCGTAGTCGGGGTGGTCGTCAATCAGCCGAAACAGCTGCATCTTGGCCATTTCTTGCGACGGGTGGCGGCAGCGAGGGTTGCAGTACGTGTTGTCCAGGTACAAGTGGTCCACAGACACGCCCTCCAGCACACTGGTCTGCTGTGGGGTATACCTGCGCACGGGGGGACGAAAGGTGTGTGTGTGTGTGTGTGTGTGTGTGTGTGTGTGTGTGTGTGTGTGTGCGTGCGTGTGTGTGTGTGTGTGTGTGTGTGTGTGAGTGAGTGTGTGCGTGAGTGTGTGTGAAGAGAGTTGTGCTGTACCTTATCCAGCTGCAAGCTGTTTGTTGTACTGCTCTCTCGCCCTCTTTCGCACACACACACGCACGCACACACACACACACACACACACACGCACGCAAGCACACACACACCTGAAGTCGCCCGTACAGAGGACCGTGCCAAAGTAGCCTTGGAAAAGGAACATGACTGCACCAGGGCAGTGGTTCGCGTCAATCAACGTCACGTACATGGTGTGCTTGCCGCTGTCATCAAGCGGAATCAGGTGCTTTTCCCCGACCTCCAGAGCCGTCTGCGTGTGGGAGCATTTGGAGTGCATCAGAAGTAGGTGAGACTGCGTCGTACACGATGGGTGTAAACGGGCTGTTTGATATCGCACACCCTCCGCAGTTGGTACAGGCACTCATACACTGCCGACAGACAACACCAGCAGTCCAAACAACGCAGTCCCAAGCGCAGTCCCAAGCGCAAGTGCGGACACAACTGCGTGCGTGTGCTCAAAACCAACGATAAGGTCAGCATCGATGTTGTACTTGTGGATGATCAGAGCCTTTGAGATTTCCGAGCAGAAGATGCGCCCTGCCCTCCACGATGAGATCAGCCCATTGCAGTGGTCTAGTGTTTCCCAATGCGTTGTTGCAGGTGGTGAGCAAAAGCAGGACGCGCGACGTGAGTTAGTTTGGTGGTTGTAAGCCACACAACACAAACGAACCTTTGTCCGCAAAGCACCCACAACCAACAGTGGCCAGTGCACGCATGTGTCAAAGGCAGCCAACCGCAAGGACAGCAAACACAGGCAGGTGCACGCTCAAAACATCATTCAGTGTCTCACCTGCGTGCGCATGTGTGAGGAAATACAGCCTGACCCCTGGCGCTTGTCGCCATGTGTCCACTGCGATTGGCGTGTTTGCCAACACAATCCCACCCCGGTCCATGCGTGCTCGTGTGTGTGCTGGTGTTGTGGCGGCCGAATTCGCGCGGTTACTGAAGATTGGTAAAAGATTTGCTACATATTTCGACCCGTTTTGGCGCACAAGGCGAAGAAGTGAGTGAAGAAGGATGGAGGCAGTTGTGCCGCTCTGGAAGGCTTCGACAGAGTACACTGCAGATGCAGTGGAGGTGCGTCTACCTGTGTGTGTGTGTCTGTGTGTGTGTCTGTGTGTCTGTGTGTGTGTCTGTGTGTGTGTCTGTGTGTCTGTGTGTGTGTCTGTCTGTGTGTGTGTCTGTGTGTGTGTCTGTGTGTGTGTGTCTGTCTGTGTGTGTCTGTGTGCGTGTGTGTCTGTGTGTCTGTGTGTCTGTGTCTGTGTCTGTGTCTGTGTCTGTGTCTGTGTCTGTGCCTGTGTCTGTGTCTGTGTCTTGTGTATTGATGTCTTTGATCAACCCCCTTCCGTCTTCCCCCTTCCCCCTTGGCCCTCGCCCCACCATTGCTCTGCTTCCCCACCCCCTCTTCCATCTCTGTCCTTAACCCCGCTGCCCCCTTCTCAGTGCTGCCCCGTGCCAGGGTACGAAGACGTGTGTGCGGTTGGATTGTACCAGCTGAAGGATGACCCAAAGGCTGCGGACAACCCAGATGCGCCGAAACTCCGCTGTGGGCGCCTTCACTTGTATCACCTCGCCAACGCCAACACAACGTACGTGCTTTTCTGATGCCCTCATTCACAAACGGCTTGATTCTGTTGCTTCTAGTTTTTACGATAGCCCAATTTCCACACACACACACACACACACACACACACACACACACACACACACACACACACACACACACACACACACACAC